GTTGTAGAACTTGTGTTATATTCTTTTGGCTTTAATTGTCAAAAAAAAATATGTTCAATTCATTTATGTAGAGACTTCACAAAAGCAGTACAGGTCAGGTGACTCAGATCCCAGCGTAACAAGGTCAGCTGCTGACTCAGGTCGCAGCATCTAGTGTAAGCAGTCCAGGGCAGGTGACTCAGGTCCCAGCATCTAGTGCAAGCAGTCCAGGGCAGCTGACTCAGGTCCCAGCATCTAGTGCAAGCAGTCCAGGGCAGCTGACTCAGGTCCCAGCATCTAGTGCAAGCAGTCCAAATCAGCTGACTCAGGTCCCAGCATCTAGTGCAAGCAGTCCAAATCAGCTGACTCAGGTCCCAGCATCTAGTGCAAGCAGTCCAGGGCAGCTGACTCAGGTCCCAGCATCTAGTGCAAGCAGTCCAAATCAGCTGACTCAGGTCCCAGCATCTAGTGCAAGCAGTCCAAATCAGCTGACTCAGGTCCCAGCATCTAGTGCAAGCAGTACAGGGCAGGTGACTCAGGTCCCAGCATCTAGTGCAAGCAGTACAGGGCAGGTGACTCAGGTCCCAGCATCTAGTGCAAGCAGTCCAGGTCAGCTGACTCAGGTCCCAGCATCTAGTGCAAGCAGTCCAGGTCAGGTGACTCAGGTCCCAGCATCTAGTGCAAGCAGTTCAGGTCAGGTGACTCAGGTCCCAGCATCTAGTGCAAGCAGTTCAGGTCAGCTGACTCAGGTCCCAGCATCTAGTGCAAGCAGTACAGGTCAGCTAACTCAGGTCCCAGCATCTAGTGCAAGCAGTTCAGGTCAGCTGACTCGGGTCTCAGCATCTAGTGCAAGCAGTCCAGGTCAGCTGACTCGGGTCTCAGCATCTAGTGCAAGCAGTCCAGGGCAGCTGACTCAGGTCCCAGCATCTAGTGCAAGCAGTCCAGGTCAGGTGACTCAGGTCCCAGCATCTAGTGCAAGCAGTACAGGTCAGATTCTTATCCAAGACCAACTGATGTACAGCAGCCAGCGAAACAACCCCCTCACTCCCCTGTACCAGGTTTTGCTTGCCCTGTGGGACACTTTGTCTGTGTCGAAGAGTGCGGCAGGGAGAGCAGTGCGCCGGGTGACTGACCTTATCTGCACACAGGTTCGACTGCCTGACAGGAATGAATCCAGCTGGATTAAATCTGCTTTCCATAAAATTGCAGGTAAAATAATACGCACAGAAGTATGCTTGTTGTTTTATTGACCTTCACCCAGTCGTAAAAATACGAATCCTGAACCCGATTTCATAATAAACAATATATGTAAACTAGTGCTAATTGTAACGGGGACCGTTACAGATGTTCCCCAAACGCTCCCCAACTCCCTTTTGGTGCCATATTCCCTGTAAGCTTCATTAAATAAGACAAACTCTATGCATCTGAGATTTTAACAACATTTACAAAGAAGTGTACAAAAATCATTTAAACTTTAGCATTTCACGCGTGCACATGTGAATGCATTTGTGTCATGACCTTATCATCTTGTCTGCACAATCTATATTTTAATACACTGAATATTAAAGTATTTAATCCAAAATTATTAACAGAATACGCTCATTCAAGTGTATGTTTGATTTTACTCATTTCACGTGCACACACGTGCATACATGAGCATGGTGACCATACCTTCTTGTAGAAGTCCATTACATCTATCTATGTTCTAAATTCCACCCCGTTTGGGTGAAAACGAAGAGACTTATAGCTGTTTAAAGTTTCAGCCAATCAGATTGCAGCACATGTACACACACGTGTATGCATGTGCATGGCGACCATACCTACTTGTAGAAGTCCATTATATCTATCTATGTTCCAAATCCCATCCTGTTTGGTTGAAAACCAAGGGAGTTATAGCTGTTCAAAGTTTCAGCCAATCAGATTGCAGCGCAAATGAACGCACGTGTTTTCATGATAATTGCTTTATTTCATGTTGTAGGATATCCTAATACATGGCTATGTTCAAAATTTCAAAGGATTTCGTCAAAAAACAAGAAAGATATTGAGACTTTAGTTGCAGCCAATCAGAGCGAAGTGCACGTGCATGCGCGTGAGATCTTGCTATTTTCACCATGTCGTCATGTCTATACTACTAATATATCCTCACATTATGAGTTTCAAAGCATTTCATCAAGAAATAGAACAGTTGTGGCTATATCTATTATATTGGTCATTTCACGTGTTGCACGTGCACGCTCTTGCAAGCACGTGCGCGCAAAATGACCTTGATTCCGCAAATCTACATAACATGTCTACTAACCCTAAAAAGGTTTTACCTACATCGGACGAATAGTTTACAAGATCATTCCCGGACAAAAAAGTTCCAGGAAGAAGAAGAAAAATAATAATAATAATAACTAGTGCTAATTGTAACGGGGACCGTTACAGATGTTCCCCAAACGCTCCCCAACTCCCTTTTGGTGCCATATTCCCTGTAAGCTTCATTAAATAAGACAAACTCGATGCATTTAAGACTTTAATAACGTTTACACAGAAGTGTACAAAGTTCATTCAAATTTTGCGTGCGCATGTGAATGCATGTGCGTAATGAACATATAATCTTGTCTACACAATCTATATATTTTTAAATACTAAATATTAAAGCATTTAATCCAAAAGTATTAAAAAGATACGCTCGTTCAAGTGTTTTTTGATTTTGCTCATTTCACGTGCACGCACGTGCATACATGAGCATGGTGACCATATCTTCTTGTAGATGTCCGTTACATCTATCTATGTTCTAAATCCCACCCCGTTTGGTTGAAAACCAAGGGAGTTATAGCTGTTTAAAGTTTCAGCCAATCAGATTGCAGCGCACGTACATGCACGTGTATGCATGTGCATGGTGACCATATTTTCTTGTAGTAGTCCAGTATATCTATCTATGTTCCAAATTCCATCCTGTTTGGTTGAAAATCAAGGGAGTTATAGTTATTTAAAGTTTAAGCCAATCAGATTGCAGCGCACGTGCATGCACGTGCTTCATGATAATTGTTATATATCATGTTGTAGGATATCCTTATGCATGGCTATTTTCAAAATTTCAAAGGATTTCGTCAAAAAAATAAGAAAGATATTGAGACTTTAGTTTCAGCCAATCAGAGCAAAGCGCACGTGCATGCGCGTGAGATCTTGCTATTTTGACCATGTCATATTGTCTATGCTTCTAATATATCCTTATATTATAAGTTTCAAAGCATTTCATCAAAAAATTAAAAAGTTACGCCTATATCAATTAAATCGGTCATTTCACTTGTTGCACGTGCACGCTCTTGCAAGCACGTGCGCGCAAAATGACCTTCGTTCCGCAAATCTACATAACATGTCTACTGACCCTAAAAACATTTCACCTTAGCCGGATGTATAGTTTACGAGATCATTCCCGGACAAAAAAGTACCCAGGAAGAAGAAGAAGAAGAAGAAGAAGAAAAATAATAATAATAAGAAACAGAGTAAAAACAATATGTTCCCCAACTTCGTTTGGGGAACATAATAATAAGAAACAGAGTAAAAACAATATGTTCCCCAACTTCGTTTGGGGAACATAATAACATGCAATACTTATAAAACACATTGCCATACATATATTTAAAACTTTTCATAGGCCCCTATAGAATTCATTCAATTAATCCGATTATTAAATAGAATATATACATCCATATCATATGAAATATACAAACAAAAAAATTTCTTTCAATATTGAAAAATAGGTTGTTGGATCAAGCACATGTTGTCCATCATCATCCTATGATCCTTGCTTTTGAGGCAATTCATCTTTTCATCGAAGTAGATAATTCTATAATGTTTTTAAAAATTAGCATCATTTATCTATTACAATTAGCCCCCCCCTTCACTTTCCAAATAAAAAATGGAAGACATGTTGATATTGGAAGTGTCCATGATGCTCGAATATTTAGGGAATCGAGCTTGTGCCGAATAATGGAAGAAGGTATGTGTCTGAATATATTGAGCTTTTCTACAGTCTATAATGTTGGATGTAATTATACCTGTTGATATAATCAACATATTCTATATATTTTTAAAATCTTTATAGTGTATAGATACACTTTTTACAATTACTTCAATTTTTTTTTTAAATCTCATTTTCTACATTATATATAAATTGAAAACAATTCATGAATTATTTGATTGGTTATGAAACCTTTATGCAATGTAGGACAGCTAGCAGGGATTTTACTAGGAGATTCAGGATATGGCCTGAAGCCATACCTAATGACACCTTACATGGCAGAGGATGCCCCTGGGAACAGGAGATTTAATTTAGCACATTGTAGAACAAAGTTACTCTTAAAATTTTTCTTTTCTATAGAGCAAAAAAAAACAAACAACTTTACCAATTAACCATTTCAATACCAGAAATTTCAAGTTTCAATCCAGAAAACCATACAAGGAGTATATTACATGTATGCATTTATTCATTTTCATTGTCAGAGTAACAATAGAGCAAACGTTTGGCATCCTAAAAAAAAGATTTTATTCCCTCCACTGTGACCTAAGAACCAAGCCAGAGAGGGCCTGTAGAATTGTCACAGTCTGTGCCATACTTCATAACATCGGCATAGAGCGAAGAGACATCCTTCAAGACATTGATGTTATGAATGAGAGTGCTCTTGACATTCAAGTGCCAGATGACGCTGTTGGGCGCACTGTAAGGGACCACATCCGAGATAGTTACTTCTTATGAAGAGGGTAAATCTATTTTCTTAACATTAGTTATTTTATTAAATTGAATTTCAGAATATCCAGTTTTTTTTAATTGTATACAGCTTTATAGCTACTCAAGGTAATTTGGGAATTATGATGCTATGGGTAAAATACAACAACAGCCAGAATCAAATTTTGATGAGAATATTTAATGACTTAATGGTTTAAATGCTATGCATCCAACAATCTTAAATATACCCATTTAACATCAAACAATCTAAATATACACATTTACTTGAGGATCTAATTTGTAACCTGAGCAACTGGCTAAGTAAAAACAAAAACAAAAATCAGTTAAACATAGAAAAAAAAAACTTGGAGTACCTTTATCTATATTAGCTGCAGATCGGTAGTTCTCTGAAAAATTATATATTGATAGACCGGAGAGCTACAGAGCCACCCATTGAAAAAACTGTACATGTATATTTATTGCGCACAAATGAATGTGCTCGGTTCTCTATTTATTTCTCCATGTTTTTTAAGCTGTAATCTCAAAATATTACTAACTGTGTGTTCCTAACATATTCTTTGACTCTTTCCACAACAAAACATTCCTCATAATTGTTGTTAATAGTCCCCTGGCCCTGATGTTGCAATCGTTGGACATTTCGCTTATTTATACTGCCATTTTGGTTTCAAAGATAATTCGGTCCAATATGCTTCGTTCAAATGTCAACTTCGAGAGAACTTGATAGAGGAGAGAGTAATTTTTTGAAATCTTTCATTTTTTGCAATTGAGGTAAGAATTTGGAAAAAATTAATCAAGAATCGCGCGCACTTTTTTGTGTGCAATAAATTTACATTTTTTTCAATGGGTGGCACTGTAGCTCTCCAGTCTATCAATATATATTTTTTCAGAGAGCTACAGATCTGCAGCTATATCTATATGTGAGACATTTAAATTTCATTATTTTGTAACACCTGAGCTATTACTTCTGGATGTGAATTAAGTAAAATTTGAAATTTTAAATCATAATAGGACTTCTGTGTTTGGATTAGCTCTCTGTCATCCTTGATCTTCATAATTTGTTCCTGCAACTTCTCTGTTTCCAGACCAAGGATCCTCTGTTCAAAATCTTTAACTGTCATTTTCTTCTTTGACTTAACAGAATCTGCTAAAAGAAGAAAACTAGTGAAAATGATGGAATTCTTTTTTTTTAATCTGAACATACTGGGTCTTGAGGTCTCAAATTCACATCTTATCCCCCTTTTAAACATATATGTTATTGCTCAAGTTCCCTAAGAGCAGATGAATGTAGACTCAGGTGACTGTAATTTATAAAAGCAATTCTATATTGTCCAATTCAACAGCAACAATTTCTCAAAGGACAATAAACTTTCATTAAAATTTGTTCTTGTCCATAAATACATGTAGGTGTAAACTAATTCAACATGAGATTCCAAATAACACAATGTAAGAAAGATTCTGTTGAAGTCTCAAAAAAAATGTTATGTAACATTAGATTTTTGTATATCAGATGGCTACTCCTAATCTTCATGGATATACAGATGGATGGCTATCTCATACCTTTCTATCCCTTGCTCTTCAAGCTTGGGTTTAATAATTATAAAACTTTAAAGTAATGAAGCAATAACCCTTGTTAAAATGGGTCATTTGACCTGAAACTCAGCTTATTACCTTGTGCAAAGCATCAAATAATCCGGACAAGAGGCCCCTAGGCCACATCGCTCACCTAAACACTAAAAAAATGCAGAAATCAGATAATAATTGAAAAGTTTAAACCCAAAAGAGGTCCCAATCAATCCTTAAAGGGGAGAGGGTATGATTTAAAAAACTTGAATCTACACTACATAAAGATGCTTCCATATAAATATGATTAATCAAGGCTTTGGTATTCTTAAGAAGAAGACTTTTAAAGAATTTTTCTATATACACTGTATTTCTATGTGAAACTCTGATCGGCCATTGTGGCCCTGCTCTAACCCTGGGGGTCATGATTTGAAAAAAATTGAATCTATACTTCCTGAGGATGCTTCCCAATAAGTTCAATTTTCCTGGCACAGTGGTTCTTTAGAAGAAAAACATACCACCAAAATTTCACTTTTTCTGAATTATTTCCACTTGAATGAAGGCGTGGCCCTTCATTTGAACAAACTTGTATTCCCTTCACCCAAGGATACTTTGTGCCAAGTTTGGTTGAAATTGGCCCAGTGGTTCTTGAGTAGAAGAAGACAATGTGAAAAGTTTACGACAACAACAATGACGATGACTACAATGACGACAGACAACTGACAAATTTTGATCAGAAAAGCTCACTTGAGCCTTCGGCTCAGGTGAGCTAAAAACTAACTACCACAGACTGAGAGACAGAAAAGGGTAATATTCTATGAAAATCTGGCAATTTTTGATTTGAGCTTATATGAAAATTATTTCAATATTGACAACCTGGATATGGTTCTATCAAACATTTCTAGTTACTGTACCTCTTGTCTCTTTAATCTTTTCAGGCATGTCTGAGGAGATGGAAGGCTGGATTGGCAAAAGATCTATTAAACAAACATAACAGATTATAAGAGATATCATAATTTAAAATTAGTTTTGATTATGTAAATGCAGAATGACCTTACATTGCATCTTTTGTGGGTTTTTCATGCCCTATAAATCAAAGATTTGACAGTATATAGTTTTGGCCCCATCCGCTGGTATGTTCAGCTGTCTGTTTGTTTGTCTGTGAAAGAAGTTAAACCTTGTCCATTGCTTTTGATCAGTTAAAATAATGACTTTCGTATTTCATACATGTATTCCACATGACAAGACCTTTCTTTTGACACATACGTAGTTGAACATATGACCTTGAATTTTGATCCACTTTTGTAAAAATAAAACAAACTTTAATCTTGGCTTTAATTTCTGAATAGTTGGTCAATGGTGCCAAAGCTTTCTTACATCATATGTGTATTTAACAAGATATAAATTTTGAAACCTTGGCCTTTGAGATTGACCCACATTTTTAAAAAGTTAAACCTTGAACATAACTTATGAATAATTAAATTAACATCTCGCAGTTGACAATTATGTATTAAATTACCATCCCTAAATATCCTCTATGTGAAATTTTATTTATAATTTTAAAAGTATGGTAAATGATTGTTCTGCTCTTTGAATGAAGTTGCCACAAATTTGAATTGTAATTTGCTGATAAATATGACTTATCATTACACATAGAGATAATAATACAGAGATACAATGCACAGTTGTTGTTTGTTAATTTTAATTAATGAAAGTGTTAAGAGTCTATTACCAGATGTATCAATCCCACCAGGTATACCTTCCAAAGAAGGTCTACCGTCCAAATTATCCAAGATGGATTTTTCTGCGGGAGATGGACTTGGGGGCTTTGGACCACCGCCAGTCTTAGGCCTCTTCATATTAACAACAAATTAAAATCCAGGCTTTTTGATATCATTGACAGCTGCTTCTTCAACAAAAATGGAACTCGTAAGTTTACTTACCTCGTCATTGGTCTTTTGAAAAATTATTTTGTTAAAACAGATTCTGATTGTACACATAAGTACTCTGAAGTTGACATCAAGAAGATGCTTGAGTTTCTGATTGACAATATCTATGTGGTTTTTGGAGACCAGGTATTCCAACAATCTATTGGAATTCCCATGGGTACAAATTGCGCTCCGTTATTAGCAGACTTATTTTTATATTCATATGAAGCAGAATTTATGCAAAATCTTTTGCGTGAAAAGAAAAAAACACTTGCTGTGGCCTTCAACTCGACATTTAGATATATCGACGACGTATTGTCAATTAATAATGATAATTTCCATTCCTACGTCGACACGATATATCCTGGTGAGCTTGAGATAAAAGATACCACAGAGTCCAACACTTCTGCTTCATACTTGGATATTTTACTTGAAAAAGACACAAATGGTAATCTAACAACCAAGCTATATGATAAACGTGAGGACTTTAACTTTTCTATCGTCAACTTCCCTTACTTATGCAGCAATATACCTTCATCACCTGCATACGGAGTATTTATATCTCAGTTGATTCGATACGCAAGAGCATGCTCTACGTATGAACAATTTCTTAAACGAGGTAAATTATTGACAAGCAAGTTGATGAAACAAGAATATCAACAGTCTCGTTTAAAGTCATCATTTCGTTAATTCTATGGTCGATACAATGACCTTGTCAGCAAATACAATTTATCATTGAATGAAATGCTGACTGACGTTTTTCATACTAATTGTTAGTCCATTATTTATACACTGAATTGACTACGGATTTTTTCCGTTATTTCCTGATTATGACAATGAGCACACGGCGGGTGTGACCGGTCAGCAGGGGATGCTCACTCCTCCATGGCACCTGATCCCACCTCTGATGTTTCGGAGGTCCGTGTTTGCTCTGCTCTTGTTTTGTATATTTGTTTAATGGACGTTGAGATTGAATACTGTTCGTTATTTCCATATCCTTATCTGACAACTTTCCTTTAGCTAAAATTAATAACATTTTTTTTTTTAATAAAAAATACATTGCATTTGCAGAACATTAATGATTTAGTTGATATATTGATTTAGTTGATTTAGTTGATATATTGAGTGTACATACTACACTTTAACAAGAAGCCCATGGGCCATATCACTCGACTAAGCAACTTGCTAGGTAAAAGCAAAAACCAATCATGGCTTTGCTGTTAAAATTTGATTCCCCATTGTGGCCCCACCCTATCCCCGGGGGTCATGTTTTGAACAAACTTGAATCTTCGCTACCTGAGGATAATTCCACAGAGTTTCATCTTTCTTGGCCCAGTAGTTCTTGAGAAGTTTTTTTAAAAGATGCCATTAATTTTTCATAAATTTATAATTATCTCCCATTGAAAAAGGGCTTGGCCCTTCATCGAAACAAACTTGATTCCCCTTCACCCAAGGATATTTTGTGAAAAGTGTAGTTGAAATTGACCCTGTGGTTTTTGGCAAGAAGATGAAAATGTGAAAAGACGAAGACGCTCAGGTGAGCTAAAAAGTCAAACATTTCAGATGTTTTGCTGAGAAGGCATAAACAAATCAGGTTGACAGTTTGGATCATGGGTCTATGTAGCCCTCTTACTTAGTCAATAAATGTGCGAAGCGGTTTATAAACAAGAGGCCCATGGGCCACATCGCTCACCTGAGAAGCTTTGACAATTCTGTACTTTACTAGTTTTACCCCTTGTAATACATATTGTGACCCCATCCTACCCCACTGTTCATAATTTAGACAATTTGAATCTACACTACCCCCAGGATGCTTCCACATAAGTTTCAGCTTTTCTGGCACAGTGGTTCTTGAGAAGAAGATTTTTTAATGACCCCACCCTATTTTTGTCTTTTCTTGATTATCTCCCCTTGCGAGGGGATATGTCCCTTCATTTAAAAATTTAAATTCCCCTTCACCCAAGGATGCTTTGTACCAAGTTTGGTCAAAAATGGCCCAGTGGTTCTTGAGAAGAGGTCGAAAATGTGAAAAGTTTACGGACGGACAGACGGACGGACGGACAAAATGTGATCAGAAAAGCTCTCTTGAGCCTTCGGCTCAGGTGAGCTAAAAAGCGTAAACTGTTCCAACCCAGTTTATACCGTATGAAATGGGAAGCTATTAAATTCATTGCTTATAATTTAATTTTCATTCAATTGATGTAAAAAAAAAATGATGGTTCTAACAAAATGACTCAATTTGTACAAATTTGACTGTAACGTCAGGCGCATTGATACGTTTTTGACGCAAGTCAATGTGACGTAAACAATCCATTTTATACAATATAAAGTAAATTCTTTATCCAATCAAATACAGCGTTACCACCAGAATTAATTTATTCTGACATAGAATAAAACTGCCAAAGATCCCGAAATATATTGTTAAAATCCTTGTTTACGACGTTTTCAATCTCACAACACTAAAGCTATGACGTCTAAACCGCTCAACTATGACATCATCTAGCCTTTGACTGCACAAGAAAAGGACAGAGAAAAATGGAAAATGTAATAAATAGAAAATTCAGTGTTTTGTAGTTGAATATGGAATTTAGTTCACTCGTAAGGCACTCGTGAAAATATAAAAATATCCTGTCCCACTCGTGAAATAAATTCCATATTCAACTACAAAACATTGAATATCCATGTAATATGCAGTAATAAAACAGTGTTCTTGCATATTTGGAGGAGATTATAGACTGCTCTATACAAGACTGGTATATAATTAAAATAATGCTTTTGGTTCATTGCCACACCATTTCTTGAAAATTCAAATTTGAATGTCCAGTCATCCTGAAGGTGATCATGTACGTCATCATCAGTTCATATTATATCCTTATTTGATGTACAAAAAGTTCACAACAAAAATTCTGTTTGGGGAAAAAATTATAAGCTCAAGGGTAAGTATACATTTATATTACTTTGTGGGATTTGGGATGTAATCTGTCACTTTTAATTACTCTGTTTTTGTGTTTTATTGTGCTTTGTTCATGAGTCACATTGTTACATCTTTTGAAGGTTATGGAGCATCTACAAACAGTACTGACAGAAAGAATGTGTGTCAGCAAGCCACTCACAGTACATGGGTAATTTTGCTAGTTTCTCCTTAAGTTTTTTTTATTTAACAATGTATTGATTTATAAGTACAATTGCTTTTTGCACTATAGTCGTAAAATAACTTTCAGATCCATCTTCAAAAGATACAGATAATTTGAACACCTGCAAAATCAACACCTGGAAAATATCCTGATAGAAAACATGTTGTATGTTTTTTTTTCCTTTTCCATGAAATTTGAGCCTCTATGTAAATGTTTTTTTCAACTTATTGGCATAGGTCATCTGTGGGAATAATTTAAAAGGGATATAAGTTAAGATTAACTCATATCGCTTTGTATACAACTGTGTGTACAAGAATTATTTGAAGATGTGAAAAAGCACAATATGTAGAAAGTAAACAATATATTAACTTTTTGAAGCAATGTGATCTTATTTCGTTCAACCTCATTTAAAAATTTTTATGTGCGTTTTTATAATTTCAGTATGGGTGTGCATTACATGAACCTGGTGTTGATAAAAGAGGCCATAGTATATCTCATATGTAAGAGAAGTGGTCTACCATACGAAGTAGCAGATGAGAGATGCACTCTAACAGAGCGATCAGTACAGGATCAAATTAATAAAAAATATGCCTGAATTCCATTACTAGTATATTTTATATCTGATGACCAATGAAACTTTCATCATTACAACTACATCAATCATGATTTCATTTTACCCCATGTACCAATATTTTGGTTTGGGAGAATAAATTGAACTTGAACATAATAATATTAAAAATCTTAACTATAGTATAGGTGTGTCACATAAATTTAGAAAAACTTGATAGAAAAGGGGATGATTGTTAAAAAGGGATTTTTGTTATAAACAGTTAACAGTTTTTAGGGATTATTATGTTTAAAAGTATTTGAACATACCACAAAAAAAATAGATTTTTAACTGATATATCACATTATTTACTAACCTGAAGGCTTTTAATTCCAATCTTCTCCTCTTTGCAGCTCTTGTCCTGTCCAATGCCTCTCTCTTTCTATGTTGCAAATCTTTAAGCACAACCAAATTTTTTGTGTATGCACCAGGGGATTATCCAGTCCTTGTACATGTATATACCTGAAATGGTTTATTCAGAGATATACACTTGAAACACTAATACATGTACATGTATTTTGACAATGATAATGAAACATATATTAAAATTAAAGTTACATATAGTCTGATTTTGAATTTTCATTAACTGCAATAATATGATAGAAATATACATTGAACGTGCATTTCTCAACAACTGATGAATACAGATTACACCTTAGAAACATACTTGTGGCCAATGTGTTTCTGGGCAAAAGCTGCAGGTACTCTGAAGTCTTGACTCGCAGATTCACTTAAATTATTTTTCTTGGGAGCTTTTGATGCTATCATGTTGTTAAGACATTCATTGGCCAGTGTGGATCCTAGTTTGGCAATCTTTTGGCAGTGGCTCTTGTTTTTGTTAAAGATATTGGCAGGTGCTTTCTGTAGATTTTTATCAGTAAGACACTTCTCAAATGGAAGAATGGGAGCTGTCTGTACTTTGCTTAATAATCACTGAAAATGGCTTGTATGACCAAGAACAAATAAACACAACTAACCATATTTTCAACTACATCTTCTCACTCTACCACACTTGGCATGCTTAGGTCACCACTATTGGCATTGTCTGTTGATCTAGAGTACGCATGGTCTTCAAGGGAAAAGCATATTCTTCTTGTCTCTTCCAATTTTTCTAATATTTTTACTTGGCTTCTCTTAATAAAGCGGCACAAAGTAACTTAAATGTTTCAAAGTTATGAATTTTATTCATA